ACTGCTTGAGTGGCCTCATGACATAGTGGTTGGCTTTCTCCAGAGTGAGTACCCACAAGAGAGGACAAGGAGGAAGCCACAATGCCTTTTATGACCCCATCTGAAAAGTCACACACCATCACTTCTATCCTATTCTATATTCATTAGAAGTGAGTTACTGTGTCCAGCCCACACTCACGGGGAAGGAGAATTAGGCTCTTCTTTTTGATGGAAGAAGTTTGAAAGAATTGGTAGATACATTTTAAAACCACCACACCAAGAAAGACTTGCAGAAGAAGGGTGCTAATTAAATAACCAAAGAACAAGATGCATTTTTGGAGTAAAAATCTATTTAAGACAAGAACAAATGCTAAATGGAAACTCTGAAAGAGACCAGGAATTTAAATTTATGTGAGACCTGAAGTCTCAACCTGAATTGTTGGCATAGATACCCATGGAACTTCTTACAATAATGTCTGAAAGAAAACTTCTATTGTTGGCACCATGGCTAGAAGAATAAATGAAGGATTTGAGTCAAGGGTAAGCAATTTCGAGAGCATTTCCAATGTTTTAACTTGTATCCCTCCAAGTTAACTTCTTTTCTCAAATCTTCTAATTTTCTAAGTGTTGCAATATCCCAACATGACCAAGAGGGTCAAATTCCAGCTCTAGTCTTCAATTTTTTTTTTTTCCTTCTGAAGGTTATTCATTTCTCTGTGCTGTCTGCAAGCAAGATATCATGATCTAATTGCCTAAGAATTTATTTCCAAATAGATATTGACAGAGTCTGAAAGTCTCAGAAAGATCAGACAGATCATATTTCCTCCTTTACTCAAGACTTTTTATCATTTAAAAAAACCACTAACAACTCTGATCCCAAAAGAACTTTCCTTTGTGCCACCTGGGGTATTCAGTCAATCAACAAGCATTTCTTGGACATATGGTAAAGATAAGAGGTTATCTTTGTTCTCTAAAATACGTATAATATATTTGAGAGCTAAACAGAAAACAGATGCAGTTAAATACAATAATCACAGAAATGGGATTGAGAGAAGTGGGCTGTATAAGATGAGTGGGATTTATTAAGGAAAATGTCCCAGAAAAGATGAACCTTAATGTAGAAGGAGCCCTGGTGGTGCAGTGGTTAAGCACTTGACTGTTAACTGGAAAGTCAGCAGTTCGAACCCACCAGCCACTCCATGGGAGAAAGATGTGGCAATCTGCTTCTGTAAAGATTACAGTCTTGGAAACCCTATGGGCAGTTCTACTCTGTTCTATAGAGTGTGTCTTAGGTTGGGTTCTCTAGAGAAGCAAAACCTGTAAAGCATATAAATATCTATATAGAGAGATTTATATAAAGGAAATGGCTCACGCAGTTGTAGGGGCTGTAATGTTCCAAGTCCGTGGGTCAGGTTAGAGGCATCTCCTGGTTCACGTAGCCGCAGGGGATAGCGAATCCAAGACCAGAGAGCAGGGCTCTTGCTCATAGGCTGTGAAGACTGACGAATCCCAAGATCAGTAAGCAAGACCGCAGGTAAGCTGCTAGCTCAAGTTCCAAGAACCGGAGGTCAGACAAACAGGAGCCAGCTGCAGTATCCAGAGCGAGCAAAAGTCCACGAACCTTGCCAGAATGTCCGCTTATAGTCAATGCAGGCCACATGCCCAAGGAAACTCCCTTTCAACTGATTGGCTACTCACAGCAGATTCCGTCGTGGAGGTGATCACATTATATCAAATCTCATCACGGGAGTAATCACATCATCGTATGACTACCAAACTACATCATAACTGCCAAACCACTGAGAATCATGGCACAGCCAAACTGACACATAACCCTAATAATCTCAGGGTGGCTATTAGGATCAACTCAATAGTAACGGGTTTGTTTTTAACCTGGAACTTAAAGCTAATCTAAATATTTGGGGCCAACTTGGGCAAAGACTTGGAGATGAGAGAAGGAAGACTGAGTGTTTGGACCATCAAGGATATGAGCAAAGGCTGGGTTGAAATATAGTGGGAGATAAGACTGGAGAGGTAGTCCAGGGGTGGTGATCAAGATGGCTGTGAACAAACTGAGCTGCAAAATAGTTTGGTGTGGTTTGGGACAAATCCATTGCGAGAAGAGAAAATTTGTTCAGTATACTGCTTCTCAAAACAACAACAACAAACAAGCAAATAAACAACCCAAAAAACAAACTCCTTTCCCATTAATAGAGATCCTTAGAAAGCTAGACCTGTGCTATGGACTCTTGTGGGGAGATGTAGGTTTAAGTCCTGCCTCTCCTTCCAAGTAGTCCAGTCACCATCAAGACTAAAGGTCAACCAACTGTATATGGAGGAAAGGGTGGAGAAAGGCCGGTGACTGACTGACTGATTGAGGATTGATTCATTTAACAAGCATGCTTTGAATGTCTTCTGGTTTGAGAGGCAAGAAGGATTAAATATTTCATTTGTGAGATTGGGACAAGGTGGCAGGCAAGTCTCCGTTTATTCAACACAAGTTCCATTGCTCACTCTCTCCTTGGCTTCTCTTTCTCCCTCTCTCTCTCTCTCTTTCTTCCTCCTTTCCTTCCTTTAATGTGCAAATTATTGAAAGATTTTTCAATGAACATTTATTGTGATCCTGCTATGTATGTATCAGGGACTGTGCTAGGTGCTGCAGGTACTGAAATGACTGAAGCTTTATATTGACAATGGTGATGACAAATTTAAAGCCTAAATGTTTCCTTTTCTGCTTCTGACTTTTTTTTTAATTAAAAAAAATTTTTTTTGTACATTAGGTGAAGGTTTACAGAACAAATAGTTTCTTATTAAACAGTTAGTACACATATTATTTTATGACAATGTTTAACAACCCCACAACATGTCAACACTATCCTTTCTCAACCTTGGGTTCCCTATTACCAGCCCCTCCTGCCTTCTAGTCCTTGTCCCTGGGCTGTTGTGCCTCTTTAGTCTCATTTTGTTTTATGGGGCTGTCTAATCTTTGGCTGAAGGGTGAACCTCGGTAGTGACTTCATTACTGAGCTAAAAGGGTGTCCGGGGGCCATACTCTTGGGGTTTCTCCAGTCTCTGTCAGGCCAGTAAGTCTGGTTTTTTTTTGTGAGTTAGAATTTTGTTCTACATTTGTCTCCACTTCTGTCTGGGACCCCCTGCTGTGATCCCTGTCAGAGCAGTCAGTGGTGGTAGCTGGGCACCATCTGGTTGTACTGGACTCAGTCCGATGGCGGCCGTGGTAGTTGTGGTCCATTAGTCCTTTGGACTAATCTTTTCCTTTTATCTTGCTTTCTTCACACTCCCTTGCTCCCGAAGGGGTGAGACCAGTAGAGTATCTTAGATGGCTGCTTACAGGCTTTTAAGACGCCAGACACTACTCACCAAGGTAGAATGTAGAACATTGTCTTTATAAACTACCTTATGCCAACTGAGCTAGATGTTCCACAAAGGGATTTTTATAGGTTCTGTTCAGCCCTGGTGGTGCAGTGGTCAAGAGCTCGGCTGCTGACCAAAAGGTCGGCAGTTTGAATCCACCATCCGCTCCTTGGAAACCTCATGCAGCAGTTCTACTCTGTCCTATGGGGTCGCTATGAGTTGGAATTGACTTGACGGCAATGGGTTTTTTTTTCTTTTTCTTCTTCTTTTCTTGGTTTATTCAGCCTCACCCATTATAAGTAAAGTGCTCTGTATGGGTGACCATGATCAACCCTGCTGGTCAAGCCCAGTAATGAGGGACATGAAGGCAGAAGGCAGTACTCAAAGCCAGCTGGTCTTCCCTTCATGATTTTGGGCCATTTGTCCATGTACATTGGGACCCCACCAAGCTTGGGATATAGACAGAGTGACTATTGTCCCTGGGATGGGGCTGCTATTTGCTTCTGACTTTTGCTTTGCCTAGAGGGGAGCTATCCCTCCTGGAACAAAGTGGACAATGTGCAGCAGGTGAACAGAATCATATTTGATTTCCAGTTGTTGTACCAGCTGTGCCACACTGGCAGTGGTCTCCACCTGTCTAACTTCTGCTTCCACCAACTCAGAACCAAGTTATTTTTATACTCACATCATGGCATAACCCAAGTGGTTTTGGATATTCTTTAATGCTGAATTTGGAAGCAAAAGCATTCTTATTTATGGAAACCCATATACTAGGTGGCTACTTCAATAGCAAGGATACAAGATGTAAAATGCAGCAATAGTCAAGGAATTTTCCAGCTGCCAACAGTGAGGGAGTCATGTAGTCCAATCGCCTCATTCCAGGTGAGAAACCTTGGACATAGGGAGGATGAGGGACTGACCCAAAGTTATCTGGCAATGTAGACGAAAGCCAGGGCTACTCTGATCTCCTGGCTCTTAGTCCATGCTCTTTTATCAAGCCAGTTGTGACATATCTCACAAAATGAGTGCAGATTGTAGTCTCCCTCAGCAAGAGGGCTGCTGGCTTTACTGCTCATGCATACACATCACGATGGTTCCTGAGCGGTTGACACTCACCACCCTCTGCCTTCATTTTTTTTTTCCTTTGCAAAGCAGCTGTACCCAGAGCCAGTATCTCTTTTCCAAAAATTTAACATGCCAGAGGGTTGTTGGAAATGGCCCTGATATCTGTCAGGAGCCAGATGATTCACGGCAATAAACCAACGTGCATAACAAGATACCTGATTGGATTACCAATTAGCCATGTCCACCTCTGGAGGGTGGTTGGAAAGAAGAGAAAAGGCAGTGTTTAGTTTGGGCAAATATCAGGAGGGCTTTATCATTCTCATCAAGGCATCAACACGGCACATTAGACCTCCTCCAAGCCATTCCACTGGAACTTCTCTTTCCAGCTTCTCCAGCAAGAGTAAACTTGTTATGCAAACATTGGGTTATTGTGTCTGAGCTACAGAAGCACCTCTGTGTCAAAGAGAGGGGAGAAACCAGCTGACTTGGGTTTTAATGATGTCTCTGCTACTGGGAAGTTTTGGAAGCTACAGGTAAAATCTTCCCCTTTGAAAACGAGGCTAACCTGGAATGTGTCATCTTACCTTCAACACGCAGAAGATTTTCCGTTTGGGTAGTCCCCAGGAGGGACAGGCAGGCTTTTTCTCCATCTGGACCCAGGAAGCAGTGTCCCAGTGTGGAGTCTCTGGAATCTTCTTCAAAATAAGCACAAGGCATGGGCAGTTTTAGCACCAGTGCAGGTGAGGGAAGCTGAATCTGGACTGTGTTCCCCTAATTCCAGATGGGTACAGGCACACAGATACCTGTGTGCTCAGGTGCTCACCAGACAATAGAGCAAGCCTTACTCCTGGGATTTGGCAGAGCAGGGTTATTGTTTAGGCCCTGTCCTCTGGGATCTAAGGTGGGAGGATCAGGGTGAGGCTGCCAGTAGCCTATACCTTGCCTTTGTGTGAATCTGGAAATGGCGTCCCCTCTGGGCTCAAGCAGCCCTACAGGAGCAAGGCTTGGCTCATGGGGCACACCTTGTGTGAAGGAAAGGGAACCCCTTTCTCCAGGTGTGTACAGTCCAGCTTCTGGGTACAGGGATTGGCGATCCCAGCCTCGACTTTCCCTATCCATCAAATGCCTTTGTGCAGTGCTCAGCATGCACAGCCATACCCTGATACAGGGACCAAATTCTGGGACAGCTTAGTGACTCCAGGGGGCTCAGGCTGAGGGGGAGGAGAAAGCTGTATTTCCCACAGGTGCTTAGAAAGACTGAAGGTGTTTATATAACCCTACCTTCCCTATCTCCAAGGTAAAGGGGCCAAGAGGAGGGATGGCCACCAGCCACAATGGACGCTTAAGAGTACACACACAGAAAGGCACAATCCACACACATTTACAAACACACATATTTACAGATGTGTGCATACACACACACTTACAACATGCATATATATGCACATTTACACAGGGTACGCACACACACATGCCCCACCAGACACATGCAGAAGTGCATGCATGTACACGCACTTACACACATGCACATGGGCATACACATGCATACACACGTGCACAACGGCACACTCACACATCCACACATGCTTGCACGCTCATTCGCAGGCATGCATACATAGAGACATGCACAATCACACACTCATACACCCACAGGTATGCATGCATGCCACAAGGCCTTACACACAGGCACTCCCACGGGCATGCAAGCACACACAAATCCCCACACACACTCACTCGTGTACTCACACATGCATTCCCTTACATACACACACGTACCCCTTACGCCTAAATATGCACTTGAGGCTTCCAGTTGCCCTCTTGTCATAGCCATGGCCCTAACATTCATTTTAGTCAGGTTCCCCCTGCATAAAGATGTCTGAGTAAATGTGTGTGTTCGGTGGGAAGTGTTCTGGGCTATGTAGCCTCCTAGGAAGGCCCTTGGTGCTGGCATCACAGTACCTGAAGTTTGGATCAAAATTAAAAAAGCATCACTACCATAGAAGTATAAAGAAGGGGATTGTGAAAGAAAGTTTTCACCCCAGAAATGATTTCCAAGTGAAAACAACATCTTTGGGGAGTGAGTGTGTGTGTGTGTGTGTGTGTGTGTGTGTGTGTGTGTATTGTGGAGAAGGGGATTTGATTTTGACCAATGCGGCCTTAAACAAATTTGATTTTGACCATCACAGCCTTACACAAAGAGGCTACAAACTCATAATGGTGTTATTGATCTGCGTATTTAATTTATGCTTAAAGAATTCAACTCTGTATGCTTGGGGGAGGGAGAGTGAGAGAGAGAGAGAACTTTAAATAGTGAGGCCTTCTGTCCCTGAGTGAGCATGAGATGAATAATGTGAAATCTGTTGTCTTCCTGGTGGCTCTCAGTTCCCGTGTGTCTCTGGGAGCGTGAATTTCTTTTGCAGCCTGGAGTGTGATTCTGATGTTAACAGAGATACTCTCTTCACACAATCTGGTCCCCAAACACACGCCAACTCCTTTATCTGGTGTTCAACCAGAAAATGCAGTCCAATGCTCCATCGAGGGAGGGACAGCTGGCTGGGCTGCACTTACTGGGAAATGATTTGTCAGCCTCCAGCATGGCACCTCCCTAAGGGATTTTCAGGGGTAATTTAGACTCTAAGCAATTTTTGCCTTATGAACTGCCTTTAGATCAAAGTCCCTGTGGAAGCTGCTACTGCACTGTCCTTGTGTTGTTGAGCTTGTGTAAGCATCTTAGTCCCCTCCCTGACTGTCAGGGCCTTTACGACAATAACTTTAAGTGGGCCAAGTTATAGAGAAGTCCCTGGGTGGCACAAACGTATAAGTGCTTGACTACTAGCTGAAAGATTAGTGGTTCAAACCCACACCTAGGCACCTTGCAAAACAGGCCTGGCGATCTGCTTCCAAAAGTTCACAGCCTTGGAAACCCTATGGAGCAGTTCTACTCTGCACACATGGGGTCTCCATGAGCTGAAACTGAATCGAGGATAACTAACAACAACAACAAAGTCATAGAGGGAGTGGCCTTGCCCTGCCTCCCCCTTCAGTAGAAATGCAGGCGCCATCCCTCTCTGTGGGCAGGCCTCAGGCTCTGCCCTGGGCTGGAGGATAACTTCTTTCAGGGGACTCTTCCTATTGGCAGGGTCACAAGGCTTCTTTCAGGGGGAAAGGTTATGGCTTGGGGTTCAGTATGCCTGGTAAATTCAGTAGTATGCCTCCCCATGAGTCCAGGGAGCTGTGTCATTACACGCTACTGCCAGGGGTGAGGACAGCACGAAACAACTTGGCAATGCATGTTGGTGCAGCAAACCCCTTAAAACGTGTACTGACTCCTGAGGAATATGCACGGTGAACACTAATCCCACTGACATCGTCGGAAACACTGCCCACTTCCTCTCTGCAGTGGGTAGCTTTCAGAGAGCTTATATCACAGCTGCCACGCAGCCCTGGCAGATGATGAAAATGAGCCCAGGGTCATAGACAAGCCAAAGGGAGGCTGGGGCATCTGCACCCCGGGAACCGTTACCTTGTCCTGCTGGGAGCCCCCTCCCGAGCTGTCTCACATTCGTGGGACCTGTGAGGCTGCAGGGGCCTGATGTCCTGGGGCTGTCCAGGTCCCTCTGGCTCTCTGACTCTCTTCTTCCTTTAATCGGGGGCAGAAGACCCAGTGGTGGGACCCCATTCTGGGGTGGGGCCTCATCATCTTCAAAAGCAAAAGGGGGAAAAAGCATGAGCGAGAGAACTTCTGCATTAGCAAGAAGGAGGAAGAATCTCTTTTCTAACTTGGTGATGGCTCCTAGTATTTAGGGTGGTTTATTCCACTCATTCTCAGTTTTATCCCTTTTCCAGCCCTGCTAAAGAGCGGGTATCTTCCACGGTCAAGGCGAAATTACTCTTGGCTAGAATAGTGGCCCTCATTTGGGGGATCTCCAAGAACTGAGAGGAAATGAACAGTGATTGTTGTTACCCTCATCGTGTTGATGGGACCCCGAGACAGAGGGAGGACTAGAGAGCCTGCAAACTCCTTCCAGCCCTCAGTCTGAAGCTCTGAGGAGGAAGACCCCCAGCTTTAGAGCTCACAGGATTATTGGGTACAGATTTCCAGTCACAAAACAATTTTGCTAAGCAGAGCCAATGGTCACATTGCCCGCTTAAGGTACAGAAGGTACAAAGTACCCCCTCTCCCCTATATGGCAGTAGGAGGGTTACACTCCAATCTACCCTCCATCTCTGGTCTCCCTTTCTCTAACTCTTCTCAAAACCAGCAGGGACTGTTCTAGGAAGAGTTAATCTCAGTAATTTAAGTGATTAAGGCCTTGGAGTCCTGGTGGTGCAGTGGTTAAGAGCTTGGCTGCTAACCAACAGGTTGGCAGTTTGAATCCACCAGCCAGTCCTTGAAAACCCTATGGGGCAGTTCTACTCTGTCCTATATGGACAGTATGAGTTGGAATCAACTTGACAGCAATGCGTTGTTTTGGTTTTTTAGGCTGACTGGTGGAGCCCTGGTGCCATTGTTGTTGAGAGCTCGGCTGCTAACCAAAAGGTCGGCAATTCGAGTCTACCACCCACTCCTTGGAAACCCCATGGGGCAGTTCTGCTCTGTCCTATATGTATGAGTTGCAATTGACTCGATGGCAATGGATTTTGTTTGTTTGTTTATTTTAATCTCATTCAGAGACAGTGGTTTTTATTTTATGTTCAACACAACTGTTGCTATTTGTTTAAAAGCTAGCTTCACATACAGTCTCATAGTATCATCACCCCACAGACTGCTTATTTATTACAATAGAGAGATCTGGCAGGCACACCTTTAACCGAATAATGAGACTAACATCACTTATAATGGAACAAACTGACATTTATTTTGTGTGCCCTGATGTGATGCGCTGAGGACTCAACGTCACCTATGTGAAAAACCTGCCAAAAATGTATACTCTGAACCTAATCACAAGGAAATAGATAAACCCAAATTGAGGGCAATTCTGCAAAACAACTGGCCCATACTCTTCAAAAATGTCAGTGTCGTGAAAGACATTAGGTCTGAGGAACCGATCTAGATTAAAAAATGTGAAAGCGATGTGACAACTAAATGCAACCCATGGCCCTAAGTTGGTTCCTAAATTAGAAAGAAAAACAACAGCTATAAAGGAATAGTATGGTATAAATGGAGAAGTTTGAATATGGCTATATAATAAAACAGTATTATATCAATGTTAACTTCCTTGAGTGTGGTAATTGTATTATTAGGAAGAATATCCTTGGTTTTAGGAGATAGCTGCTGATACGAGAAAGCACATACAATCTTTGCAACTTACTCTTAGATGGCTCAGCAATAAAACAAAATACTTGTGTGTGTGTGTGTGTATGTATAAAGGTGGCTTCATTTTTGTGATATTCCTGTTAGGTGCCATTGATCCCATGTGACAGAGTAGAACTGCCCCATGGAGTTTTATCTTTATGGGAGCAGATTGCCAGTTCTTTTTCCTGTGGAGCCACTGGGTGGGTTCGAACCACCAACCTTTCAGTTAGCAGCTGAGCACTTAATCGTTGTGCCACCAGGGCTCCTCTCTGTGATGTTGTTGTTGCTGTTAGGCGCCGTCGAGTTAGTTCCAACTTATAGCGACCCTACGTACCACAGAACAAAACGCTGCCTGGTCCTTTGCCATCCTCACAATCATTGCTATGTTTGAGCCCATTGTTGCAGCCACTATGTCAATCCATCTCATTGAGGGTCTTCCTCTTTTTCGCTGACCCTCTACTTTACCAAGTATGATGTCCTTCTCCAGGGACTGATCCCTTCTGACAAATGTCCAAAGTATGTAAGATGTAGTCTCGCCATCCTTGCTTCTAAGGAGCATTCTGGTTGTACTTCTTCCAAGACAGATTTGTTTGTTCTTTTGGCAGTCCATGGTATGTTCAATATTCTTCTCCAACACCACAATTCAAAGCTGTCAATTCTTCTTCGGTATTCCTTATTCACTGTCCAGCTTTTGCACGTATATGATGCGATTGAAAATACCATGGCTTGGGTCAGGCGCACCTTAGTCTTCAAGGTGATATCTTTGTTCTTCAACACTTTAAAGAGGTCTTTTGCAGCAGATTTACCAATGCAATACGTCTTTTGATTTTTTGACTGCTGCTTCCATGGGTGTTGATTGTGGATCCAAGTAAAATGAAATCCTTGACAACTTCAGTCTTTTCTCCATTTATCATGATGTTGCTAATTGGTTCGGTTGGGAGGATTTTTGTTTTCTTTATGTTGAGGCATAATCCATACTGAAGACTGTAGTCTTTGATCTTTATCAGTAAGTGCTTCAAGTCCTCTTCACTTTCAGCATGCAAGGTTGTGTCATCTGCATAACACAGGTTGTTAATGAGTCTTCCTGCAATCCTGATGCCCCGTTCTTCTTCATATAGTCCAGTTTCTTGGATTATTTGCTCAGCATACAGATTGAATAGGTATGGTGAAAGAATACAACCCTGACACACACCTTTCCTGACTTTAAACCATGCAGTATCCCCTTGTTCTGTTCAAACAACTGCCTCTTGGTCTATGTACAGGTTCCTCATGAGCACAATTAAGTGTTCTGGAATTCCCATTCTTCACAATGTTATCGATAATTTGTTATGATCCACACAGTTGAATGCCTTAGCATAGTCAATAAAACACAGGTAAACATCTTTCTGGTATTCTCTGCTTTTAGTCAGGATCCATCTGATATCAGCAATGATGTCCCTGGTTCCCTGTCCTCTTCTGAATCTGGTCTGAATTTCTGGCAGTTCCCTGTGAACATACTGCTGCAGCTGCTTTTGAATGATCTTCAGCAAAATTTTACTTGCATGTGATATTAATGATATTGTTTGATAATTTCCACATTCGGTTGGATCGCCTTTCTTGGGAATAGGCATAAATATGGATCTCCTCCAGTTGGTTGGCCACGTAGCTGTCTTCCAAATTTCTTGGCATAGATGAGTGATCACTCCAGCACTGCTTCCTTTTGTTGAAACATCTCAATTGGTATTCCGTCAATTCCTGAAGCCTTGTTTTTCTCCAATGCTTTCAGTGCAGCTTGCACTCTTCCTTCAGTACCATCAGCTCCTGATCATATGCTACCTCTTGAAATGGTTGAACATCGACCAATTCTTTTTGGCATAATGACTCTATGTATTCCTTCCACCTTCTTTTGATGTTTCCTGGGTCGTTTAATATTTTCCCCATAGAATCCTTCACTACTGCAACTTGAGGCTTGAATTTTTTCATCAGTTCTTTCAGCTTGAGAAATGCCAAGTGTGTTCTTCCCTTTTGGTTTTCTACCTCCAACTCTTTCCACATGTCGTTATGATACTTTACTTTGTCTTCTTGAGCTGCCCTTTGAAATCTTCTGTTCATTTATTTTACTTCATCATTTCTTCCTTTTGCTTTAGCTACTCGACGTCAAGAGCAAATTTCAAAGTCTCTTCTGACATCCATTTTGGTCTTTTCTTTCTTTTCTGTCTTTTTAATGACCTCTTAAACTTTCTTCATCTATGATGTCCTTGATGCCATTCCACAACTCATCTGGTCTTTGGTCATTAGTATTCAACTCGTCAAATCTATTCTTAAGATGGTCTCTAAATTCAGGTGGGATATACTCAAGGTTGTACTTTGGCTCTTGTGGACTTGTTCTAGTTTTCTTCCACTTCCACTTGAACTTGCTTATGAGCAATTGATGGTTTGTTCCATAGTTGTCCCCTGACCTTGTTCTGATGATATTGAGCTTTTCCATCATCTCTTTCCACAGATGTAGTCGATTTGATTCTTGTGTCTTCCATCTGGCAAGGTCCATGTGTATAGTTGCCATTTATGTTGATGAAAAAAGGTATTTGCAATGAAGAAGTTGTTGGTCTTGCAAAATTCTATCATGCGATCTCCGGCATCGTTTCTATCACCAAGGCCATATTTTCCAACTACCAATTCTTCTTCTTTGTTTCCAACTTTCACATTCCAATCACCCATAATTATCAATACATCCCGATCGCATGTTCGATCAATTCCAGACTGCAGAAGCTGGTAAAAATCTTCAGTTTCTTCCTCTTTGGCCTTAGTGGTTGGTGCCTAAATTTGAATAATAGTCGTATTAACTGGTCTTCCTTGTAGGCGTATGGATGTTATCCTATCACTGACAACATTGTACTTCAGGATAGATCTTGAAATGTTCCTTTGACGATGAATGCAACGCCTTTCCTCTTTGAGTTGTCGTTCCTGGCATAGTAGACCATATGATTGTCTGATTCAAAATGGCCAATACCAGTCCATTTCAGCTCACTAATGCCTAGGATATGAATGTTTATGCATTCCATTTCATTTTTGACGATTTTCCCCACATGTCTGTCAGTTTGTCATACTGTGGGGGTTTGCATGTTGCTGTGATGCTGGAAGCTATGCCACCGGTATTCAGATATCAGCAGGGGCACCCATGGTGGACCGGTTTCAGCTGAGCTTCCAGACTAAGACAGACTAGGAAGAAGGAACCAGCAGTCTACTTCTGAAAAGAATTAGCCATTGAAAACCTTATGAATAGCAGTGGAACATTGTCTGATATAGTGCTGGAAGATGAACCCCCCAGGTTGGAAGGCACTCAAAATACGACTGGGGAAGAGCTGCCTCCTCAAAGTAGAGTCGACCTTAATGATGTGGATGGAGTCAAGCTTTCGGGACCTTTGTCTGCTGATGTGGCACAACTCAAAATGAGAAGAAACAGCTGCAAACATCCATTAATAACCGAAACTCTGTGATATTAGAGGAGAAATAATCTAGGGCTTCAAGTAAATAGCTATGTGCATAGGTTATTGCTGTAAACCATTCATACACAGCCCACCTCTGTGGCAATGGGGCAGTCCCACTCACTGCTCTAAATGAGACCTCTGCGTGAAAAAGTCTGCCATGAAAGACGAGCCTCTTTGGTTGTCTTTCTTTATGCATCTACTATTGGGCTGGGCCACTTGCTGAACAAATTCACACCAAAGTATCAGTGACCTCTTGGACCAGCTTTTTCCTGGCAGAATGGCAGAGGCATGGAAAAGCTCTATGTACTAGGGTCCCTGGGGGACATGGTGGCTTAAAACAAGTGAAGACATTGCAAGGTGAGTGACACCAAAGACGAAATTCACTGGTATTGCCATTTATCTTGGTGGCTCAAGCTGTGCACTCTCATGATATAGCCCATAGATGGACAGCTGCTTTTTAATGTATTGACACATGGAGCCACCTTGACCATATTTGGCTTTTTAAAAAGGAAATTTCAAAGTCTTCAGGATGATTAACTTTCACCAAAGATAGGCTAACCAAACCCCAATAATCAAAGGAAGTTCACAAGACCTAAATGTCTCTAGAACGTTCTGTTTTGACTTGGGTTCGTTGTTTTGTTTATACCGAAAGGCAGTGCAGTGTAATGGGTAAGAACAGAGCTTCTGGCACTTGACAGCTGAACTCCAATCCCGGTTCAGACACTTAGGGTTGTGTGACCTTGAACACGTTACTTAACTCTCAGGATAATAATAAAATTATGAGGAGTAAATGAGATAATGCATGTTAAAAACTAAGGACAGTGCCTGGCACAGAAGAAGAACTCAATAAATGTTAATGTTTGTTATGGATGGGATTTTGTCCTCCCAAGAAGACCTGTTGAAATCCTAACCCCTGTACCTCTGAATGTAACCCTGTTTGGAAATAAGGTGTTTGAAGATATTATCAGTTAGGTTAACATGAGGTCATGTGGGAGTAGGGTGGGTTCTAATCCTGTATGACTGGTGTCCTTATGAAAGAGGAGAAGAGACAGGGAGACAGAAGAAGGATGCCATGTGATACTGTGGTTACAAGCCAAGGAATGCCTGGAGCTGCCAGAAGCTAGGAGAGAGGCATGGAACAGATTCTCACTCGCAGCCTCAGAAGAATCAACACAGCCAGCACCCTGATCTCAGACTCCCAGCTTCTAGACTGTGGAACAAAAAAAGTTTGTCTTAGTAAGCCACCTAATTTGTGGTATTTTGTTATGATGCCCTAGGAAACGAATACAATGTTTATCCTTCTACTTCTTCTGATTACTACTAGTCAGAGAAATAACAGCATTTGTGATACCATCATCTTGCACATGCCCTTTGGAAAATAGATTTATTTTTCTGAAAATGGGGAAATTTCTAAATATGGTCCATTAGCTCCAACCTATTTAGCACGTGAAAATATACACTTATGTATATAATTTCAAATGCCCATATGATCTTTTGAATAACTGAAATGGAGGCTTTAATGACATTATCGGCTTTTAAATAAATACATACATATTTATAAACAGACTGGAAATGAAGCTTCATTGGTTAAAACATAGGATGAAATATAGGGCAAGCAGCAAATTTTTAGAAAGTTTGGTGTTGTTTTACATGTGTAACCAGAACATATTAGTAGGGAGGTGATTTAGTGAGTAAGTATATTGCGAGCTAGACACTAAGTTAGTTTTACTGTAGCATTTTGGTTAAGGCAGCTGCTGCCTGAGCAAAAGGCATCTTCAAGCAGCTGGGGATGAACTAACCTCCCTTCCAGCCTCCTTTTTTTGGGCTAAGCACACTTGTATGTCTTGCTTTGCTTCCCTGCAGAGTGAGATTCGTGTGGGATGCTGGAGGGAGGGAGTAGCTACCTTGAGGTGAGAGTGTGTCCCTGCCCATGTCCATTGGGAGATGCACTGTTAACACCCTAGGTCTTTCTAAGGACGCATGCTTCAGAGGAGGTCTCCATAAAGGCCTGGCCTCTTCTGTTTCTGGTCCTGACTCAGGGCATGGAGTACCTAAGAGACAAAGAGAACACCAAGTTGTATTAGATGTCTGTTATTTTTGCCAGCAGCCTCTTGCTTTTGGGGACCCACCCATCCCTACTCAGACCATGTGGTTTGGGTGGAGCTGTGTTTGTTCATTTCCTGGCTCCAGGGATGGGCATATGACTGAAGCCTGGCTAATGAGAGTACTGCATTGCCTTAATCACATGACCCAAACCGGGCCAATCAAAGGCAATTCTGGGACTTTTGCAGGGGTTTTTATTAAGAGGCATCCTTTCTACTAGGGTTAACAGGTAGAAGGCTAGCCTGGAATTTCAGGGGTCATCTTTGTCACCACATGAGGAGTACCTGCTTGAGAGGAAAGTCCAACAGAGTTGAGAGAGAAATAGTGTCCAGATGACATTTTCTGAGTCCTGGATCCAACTGTGCCTGATGTTGTCTGATCCTTGTACTTCCCAATTACATGAGCTAATACATTTTACTTTTTGCTTAAGACAGTTTGAGTTAGGTTTCTGACTATTGCAACTAAGAATCCTCACAGACATACAAGAGAGATGGGAGAACTCAATGGATTAACTTCTCTCTGTGCTTTATTTCTGTTTTTCATTAGCATTGTGTTGACAAGTTCAATGTATCTAATAGCTGTAAGAATCTGATTCATGATAGTTTTGCTATGTTCCTGACATTCCTGTCAGGGTCATCATGGAGAATAATCAGGATTTATCCCAACCCTGCTAATAGTCTTTTCTTCCCTGCTTTCTCTGTGTTTTAAGGAGTTAAGGGTAATTTTTTAAAGGTAAAATTTACATACAGTGAAATGCCCAGATCTTAAGTGTATAATTCAATGAGTTTTGGTAAATATATATACCCATGTAACCAACACCCCAGTGAGGATTTAGAACATTTCCATTACCCCGCAGGGTTCTTTTAAGCTCAACAGTTAGGCATTCTTGTTCATGGTGAGAATTCCAAATAGCCTTAGAACAAAATGGCTGCCAGTATAACTCCTAGGAGTCAAAACTCTCTGAAAAATCTGTGGGAGTTCTACTGAAGTTTCTAGAAAACTCAGAATTAGCGCCCTCCAAATTGGACTCAGCTGTTTATAGAGTCACTTTTTCTCTCTGACTGCCCACAAGTCCCCCAGGAGTGGGAATGCACATTAGACAAGGATGCTGTAGAATGACTGAGGAAGGTCAGAAAGAATCTCTCCTTAGGATGCATGGTGAGAAGTCATTCAGAAGTCATATCCAAAAAGCCTTCCAAAGTCCCAGTTGGAATTGATCTCTCTCTCCTTTGCCTATACCCTCTTAGCACTTTGCTTAGAAACACAAAATCTCTGCCCTGACAAAGAACATAGAGGTCATTTAACAATGTTACATAATAACCTAATTCAAAATCAGGAAAATGGCTCTTCAGACAAACTTTTCTTTTATAAAAGAAGGATTCAAGTATTCGCTTTTAATTTGGCTGCCAAAAAAATCAGCTAAATCCATGAATTTATCCCAGATGTCTGATAACACCTATTTCTCTACTCCTCCTAACCGTTTTTTTTTTTGGTTGTTATTTCATTTTTTAGTCGTCTTGTTTTACATTGTATTTATTTTTTGTGAGCTGCCTGGAAATTCTTGCACCTCTACTCCAATACCTGCCATACATTGGGTTTACTTATGTGGATGCCTGCCTTCCTTTGTATGTAAGATCCTTTGACGTAGGATGACATATTGCTATGTTAGCTTCCACAGTTCAGCAAAATGCATTGCTTAATGAAGGGCTTAATAAAAAAATTTTTAAATGGAAATAAACATGACCAGAAGAGACCTATTTCTAAAATTCACCCCTTTTTCTTCTTAAAAAAAAAAAAAAAATCTCTGAAGGGGATGACCCTGCGGAGGGGCAGCTATGACATAGGAGTTGCGTTAGCCAGACCCCACAGCCGAGTCATTCTTGCCCTGTCTGAGTTCCCTCTAGAACATCCATCCACAGGGGTCCTACCTCTTCTGCGGGCTTTTTCTTTTGGGGGGTGTTGGGTGTGGAAATGAATCTCCACTGGGAAGATGAAGAGCTCTGTTGGGGGTTCCTTGGCTTTAAATTGACTCCTCAGGGGGCCCAGCACTCTGGGTGGTTCTTCTGAGATGGGAGGTAATTTCAAAGCCTTTGGTGCCTGGAGAAAATTTCAAAACAAAACAAAAACTAACAAGGCAGGTTTCCAAACCCTGTTGCTGGAAGGGGCAAATGATACTGTACCTGCACGGCTGGGTGCGAGTGTAGCTCAGGACACGTGGCTGAGAAAAGTAAATGGAACTAATCTGGGAGCAGTGCATCTGACTCCCGCGGGGGCTCCTTTTCCTCTTAGGAGCTCAGTTCATTCCTCATTAATCCAGCCTCTGATTACTTTGAGAATTATAAATGTGATAAATTCAAGAGCCTGGAAGAGGAAGTATAGTCTTTCTTTGTCTTGCAGCTAGGGAAACTGAGCCCAATTGAAATGATATGGCTGAGATCTCTATGTATTGATAGGGAGAAATTTCGGCATCTATTGTTAAGGGAAGACAGCAGGGTACAGAACATGGTTTGAACATGCAAACTTTCTGTAAGAGAGGGCAAACAATAGGAAGGTACATTTGTGTTTGCTTGCCTTATGAAAGCTCAGATTCTTCCTCTGTAAAATGGAGATAATCATACTACCTACCTCAGACAATTATTGAGGATTAAATAAGTTAATATATGTAGTTATAATAGTATGTGTAACCATGATTCTTTCTATGATGTTTTGAGAGGTGAATCTTCTCTCCTTAGAATTTAATATCCAGCGTAGCCAGGCTTCTTTATACTTCTCCAATATGAACACGGTTGAGCAAGAAATCACCGTGTGTTCGAATCAGCCGCATTTGGCCAGTTTTTTTTTTTTTTTGTCTGATTAAAAAAATGTACATATACATATACACACATAAATAGATACATACGTATATACATACATAAATAGATACATAGAGACACAAGTATATTTATACACATAGAAATGTATATATGCATACGTGTATATATATGTGTGTGGAGCCCCTGGTCAGTGCAGACGGTTAACGTGTTCAGCTGCTAACAGAAAGGTTAGAGGTTCGATTCCACTCAGAGGCATCTTGGGAGATGCCTGGTTATCTACTTCCAAAAAATCAGTCATTGAAAACCCTATGGAGCACAGTTCTACACTGACACACAGGGAATCACCATGATCGAAACTGACTTGACCACAACTGGTAAGATAATGTGTGTCTGTGTAGAAAAAGAGAGAGAGTTGAGGTAGTGGTCAGAGTCTCCTGTTTCCAATTTTTCAAAAGTTGGTACAATTTTCTCCTTTAGGTTTACAACCTTTGACATACGAACTTAGCTTTAAGAAGTGCGTGTGTGCTCAATTTCGGAGCTCAAGTTCATAGAAAAAAAATAAAAATACTTCTCACTTTTTTAGTGCTCCAAAAAAAAAAACATCAAAAACACATGTAAGCATCCTACATCTTTAGAGTTGAATGAAGAGGGAAATTCAACCAAAATACATGCAGGGTAGCACTTATAATTTTGAGACACTGAGAAAATTATTGACTAAACACGTGCACATAGGATATTTATGTTCCTGGAGAGCTTCACTGTCCAGACGCCGGCTGCCCACCAACTGCCCGTCTTTGGATACTGACCTTGTGCATTTTGTTTGACAAGGTTTGCATTTAGAAATCTATGTGAAACTCAAACGATTTGTGTGAGCTATGGCTGACAAGCCGGGACTTAATCTTTTTATTCTAATTAAAAATTTAACCAGTGAGTTTTAATATAGTGGAAAATATTGCTTTCCTCTGCTAAACTGTATACAGGGGTTGAGGGAAGGGGCTCCTTTCCTCTGATCCTGGCTCAGTTCTGGGCCGACTCAGAATTTGAGATCGAGGGCCTTCCTTAAGCCTGCAGTGACTCTGGCAGGTCAGCCTCCTGCTTACCTCTGGTCCAAAGGAGCCCGGGAAGACAGAGGCCCTTTTAGTGTGGATGGGAATGTGTAGATTAGTTTAGATACAGGAAATCTGAGAAAATCCTGAACAGATTCTAAACAAACTCTTGTTGGCACCAAGGCTGCCTGGAGTGCCCATGGCTCCTTCAGGGCCACTTCAGATAACACAAAATCCCCACAATTAGCTAACATGACTGTAGTTTCCAATTGGACACAAGATAAAGCACGTCATCTCCTTTCATTCTCCCCTTAGCCCTGTGAGATTGGAATTATTATCTGTGGACACAGATACAGTCACTGCGACCCAGATAGTGGAGCAACCCACCCAAATTCACACAGCTGCTATGGGCAGAGCTGGGACTCCAGGCCTGGCCTTTGCCTTCTAGTGGCCCTGCTTCTTCCTGTTCATCACTGGTGCCTCAAAACCTCCCAAGACTCACAAAGAACTGCAAGGCAGGACCAGGCTAGAGACAGCTAAGGACATCTCTAAGGAAGGAGATGCACTTGGTTTCTGGAAGGGGCTGGTAAATTTGAAAAATTTACCCTAAATTTTCCAGTTGAGCCAAATTGAGCCAAACTATTGCTGGATTCACAATCTTGAGCATTTTGAGTTTGAAGTGGGCCAATTGCTTACAAGCTCAAATTCCATCCTTACATGTTTAGGAATAACTCATGGCCCCTTAAGAGAACAAAGGACTCTGTTGCTACCAGACAGAGTGCGGTAATATAATAAGCTTTAAGATAGCATTGAAGGCAGCCGAAATTCCTTGCATTTCATCTTTTCAACATTTAGTAAATTACTGCAACTTTATTCCAGCCCCACATGGTGAGCTCAGAAGCGAGTGAGACCAGTTCTCTGTTGAGACATCCCTCTGAGTCACCTTGTTCCTAGATTGGGATTAACTTTACACACACACACACACACACACACACACACACACACACACACACACACACACACAACCTTTTTCTTCTTCACTTCCCCAGGTGTGTTTTTGTCTGAGCCAGTGGCAGATGGTGCTGGAGGGAGAAAGCATCTTTCTGCAGGAGGCTCCTGTAACAAGTGACTGCTTCTGCCCTTGAGGAGCTTCACACTTCCCTGTTTGTCTGCAGAAATAGGATGGCAATGAGGACTTATTAGTTGCAGGTGTGGGGATGGACAGTCGGTTTTCAACTTTTGTCACCTTTTGGTTAATGGGAAGAAAGGCAGAGAAGGTGATAGAGGACTGAGGCAGATATGGCTTGGCTGAGGCAGTTTCAGGGAGCCCTGATTTCATTATCTGGGTTGGGTTCTTGCTGGTTGAGTCAGGCAATGGAGAGAACGATGACAATAGTAATAATATTCATTGAGCACTTAATATGGGACAAGAATTGTGCAAAATATTTTACATGCATTAACTCACTTAATCCCATAATAACCTTATGGGAAATTATTATCATCACCATTTTACAGATGAGGAAACTGAGCCTCAGCAAGGTAAAATAACTTGCCCAAGATCACACACAGCTAGCAAACGGGGCATGATTTGAACTCAGGCAGTCTGATTCCTGAATGTGTGTTAAGCATTAGACAAAGGGGAGACGTCAGGGTCCCATGTCAACCTCCAACTGGACTCTGGCTGTTATTTTCTAAGGTGAGTGGCACAAGGAAGTGACACTCGGCATGCCTCAGTGTGCTCAAATGAATTCTGCGTGATTAGGTTTACAGAGATCAACAAGCAAGACACTAGGCTTCTTACCACTGAGATCTGCTTTCCTACTGGGGAAGGCACCTCCATAGAATGTAATGTGGGATTTGTCACTCAGGAGCCAAGAATGATCAATGTGGGCATGGCTGAAGGCCCTCCCAGAGGTTTGCTGAGTCTTTTCATTGTGGCTTTCCTTTGAAGCATGTATACGATGGTGATTCTCCATTGACGTGTCCTAGGGAACGACAGATACACACTCCTGTAAACAGGCTTTTATAAAGGAATAGAGCAGGTTCCTTTAACAGCCAGACTTTGTGGCTAGACTTATGGTTCCAAGGGTCAAATCTCTTGTAAGCTGGGAAGAAAAACATGGTTATAATAGCAGGACATCTAATGCCATTGATTCCAATAAAACATTTTATTATTGATGGTAGTAAGAATGACATTTAACCATGCCTGACGTATTGTGCTTTCTTGCAAAAAAGAAAAAAGAATAAAAATGAAGTTCTACAGGGCATTTTAGGGCAGTGAAATGATTCTGTATATTATTGTAATGGTGGACGCATTTGCATTTGTGAAAACCCATAGGACTGTACAACACAAAGAGTGAACCCCAATATAAATGATAAACTTTAGTTAATAATAACACATCCATATTAGTCCATCAATTGTAACAACTGTACCATGTGAATGCAAGATATTAATACTAGGAGAAATAGTGTGCAGCGGGGAGACGGAGTATATGGAACACCTGTTACTTTCTGCACAATTTTTCTGTAAACCTAAAACTGCTCTAAAAAATAAAATCTATTTAAAAAGAATAAAGTGCTAGTGTCATTGCCTCTGTCCATCATAAAGTATCTCTTTCCCCTCCCCCTCTACTGTATGGCACTTCTCTTCCCCCTCTTTCCTGTTCTCATTGGTATATGACCTTCTTGCAAGTCAAATGAGTTTATCTGAGATGAGAGCAGACGTTGTCTATGTTGCTTTGAACCACTGTCATCTAGTATACACACACACACACACACACGAGCCTTAAAGTTTAGAAAGCATTTCTATATTTTAACTTATTTAATCCTCATAACGACCCATGGGTTGCTGTGAGTTGAAAATCGACTCGACGGCACCTAACAACAACAACAACGATCCTCACAGCAGCCTTGTGAGATATTTATTATAACAGCTCCACTTTATAGAAGAGGTAACGAAGGCTCAAAGTTACTTAAGTTTCTTGGCCAGGCTTACCACAATTAGTAAGATGTAAGACTCTAACCAAGGCTTTTCCAACTTTAGTGCCAAGAGCTCTTTTTTCTAGACAAGACTACAGCTGCTAGATTTGGGAGGGAGTGGAAGAGTATCTGTAGTTAAATGAGTTTGGAAAACCCTGCGTTACACAAAGTTAAACCAGCTACTTTATGGTAGAACTTCTCAAAGCCATCCATATCCAAATGTAGAGTTTGGCTCTCTGGGAGAGGGGTACAGTATGCAGCATTTCCCAAAGGTATTTGGCCATGAAACCCTTTCTCATGGAGCATCTGGCAATACTAGGGTTCCACAGACAACATTTTGGGAAATGATGGTCAAAGGTATCTTAGTACTCTTCTGTGCTATGAAAGGCCCCAAGAAATGGTGATGGGAGGGAGCCCATCAGAAATGGTACCTCTGCCCAGGTTTCATCTTCCTGCCACAGTTGCTTCCTGAGTGGTGGCAAGTGAGCCCTTTGACTGCTGTGGTTCTTGGCTATAGATCTCTCGTCCACATGTCCACCAGCCCCAGCTTCCCCTTCATCCAGGCCCTGTTGACCTGCAAAGGTAAACAGTAGGTCAGCCCTGTAACCCCAGAGGTGGGCATGGTGCTGTTAGCTGCTTCCAAATGGCCTCCCTTCTTGATTTTCTGAGCAGAAATGTTCAAGGCCCTTGTTCCCCCTCTTCCCTTAGTTCTGTATTTTTTTTATAGCACCTTCACCAAAGTGGCAGCCAGGTCAGTGGAAACAGAGCTGCACTGGGAGACAGAAGACTCGGGGTTCAGTCTTCATTTCCTGGACACAGTTTCCTCATCTGTAAAATAGGGATATAATTTCTTGCCCTTGCTTCCTTGCAGAGTTGTCTGGAGCTCAAATCAGATAATGAATATGACAGCCCTTTGTAAACCAGGAGGGATAGGTGATAAAAGTGGTGTGATTAAGGTGTGACCTAGCCCTGCTCTGTGGTCCTTGAGATGTTCAGTTTGAAGCAAGCTCTTGGACTTCCTGGGCTGTTTGCTGATTGTTTACATGTGGGCCAACCTCCTCCAAATACACTGCAGTGGGACCACTGCTTAGCTCTCTGACTTACCCTGTCTACACAACCCTCAGGAAGGATCTGAGTCAACAGATGACTCCAGCGTATTTAACAAATCTTTCATCAATGGTTTAAAGGGTCCTGAAGCTATTTTCATCACTTACTCAAGGTAAATTTATTGCTGAAACAGTCTGGCAAACTTGCCTTGTTTGGAGCCAGGCTTTAGCAATACCTCCCCTCCCAGCGTGCAGCTTTGTGAAACAATGTGGGGTTGTCTTTCAACCAGGGATCTGGAAGCCTTTGGGGGCCCTGTGTACGTATGATAAAGCACAGGACTTCTGAAGGCTCCTTCTCCTTCCCTGAGCCAGCCTCACCTTCCCTCTAAGTTCCCCAGCCCTTGCCTCCCTTCACCATTCCCATCCTTGGTTTACTGGATCAAGAGTCAAATGCCTGCTTGTGGGGTTACCCTCTCCTTCTAGCTCTCCTTTTTCTGCCCATTGGCTCCTGAAGGCTACTCCGGGCTTGAGCTGATGCTGAGAGTTTTGGTAGAACAGACCTAGGCTCGGACTCAAGTTCAAAGGAGTCTGCTCAGGTTTTAGTGGTCCAGGGAAACCTGACGGGCCTGGGGACTCCTCAGTCTGAGGTGGCCCAGGGCCATATGTGGCCTGCTCCCAAGAAGACCTAAATGCCATACAAAATGCAGCATTAAAGACTTTTGTGGGTATTCTGGAACATTCTCCTGGATCAGGCCACCCCAGATCCATCCTTCCTGGTCAGATTCACCTGGAACTGAACACATTTCTGTGGGTGGAAGGGATGGAATTGTGGCCAAATGTCACTAACCTGTTGAATATTCTTACATGTCAGACTGTCTAAGTTGGGGCATGGGATGGTGGGTAGGGAGATACAGAGAGGCATTCTTCCCTTTGGCTATATCCCAAGTGAGACTGAATATATGACTCTGTGTGGAGAAACCAGAATTTTTCTCAGTAAACATCACTGTCTGGCTCATTTGTTTATGCTTAATAGGAACAGGTTTATAAGCAAAGTATTGGAAGGTTCGATGTTGAAAAGCGATCACAAAACTTGGTCTCTCTGTATCTCAAATATGGACTCAGATCTCCAAATAATGTGCACTTGGGTAGCAATTTATTTCTAGAGAACTTTACCTTCATCCTCCTGTGACTATTCGCAACAAGCCTTGGAGGAAGGAATGCAAATACCATTATTCCCATGTTACGAATGAGCAAACTGAGATTGCAGGCAATATAAGTAACTTGTCCAACAACATCACATTGTTGGGGTATCTGGGATTTGCAGCCAGGGCTTTTACTACGTCTCCAAATAAAGTGTCTGGTGAAGAGAGGGAGGCCAAGGGGAGATAAAGTCAAAACCAATAAAACCATTAGTCAAGGTACAAATTGCAGCCTCTGAGCTGCATTTACGTCTTTAAAAGTTGAGTTTTGGTCCCTGTGATCATGGGCAATTGGGCATTGCAATTAGTTTGTAATTATGCTTAAAAAACCTAAGCCAGGGAAGTCTATAACAAACATTTATTGAGCACTTACTACGTGCCAGGCACTACATTATCCCATTTAACTCCCATGTGCAACCCCGTGAAGGAAAGGCAGGCATGGTCACCTCCACTTTATAAATGAGGAAACTGAGACCCAGAGAGGTCACATAGCTTGGAAGTTTGGTACTAATGGCTACATGTTTAACCATTACTCTATATGGTCTCTCTGTTTCCTGCCTGATTGTGACAGCTCCTTGGTGTGTGGCATGAATAGTGAAATCACTTGATCCCTCAGGTGTGCGGTGTTTTCCACCTAAAAAATGGAACACTGCCACTCACTGTACAGGAAATTTGGCTCCTAGGGCATCAAAGTCTAAGGATACTAGCTGGAGACAGTCAAATTTTTGAAGAGAAAGGGATGAGGCTATGGCGAGATAGGGTGCCATCTGGGGAAGTGCAGCAGGTGCCCAGACAGGGGCATTACTGGGTGAGTTTACTACTCCCCAGGACATGGATGTCCTAGAAACTTGATCTTTTCAGTGCCCCAGAGTCAACTGGCCTCAAGGATATTGACCCATATTAGCAAAGTGCATAGAGGCTAATGTATAGACCAGGGCATTCATTTACGAAGAGGAATACGATTGCCTCTGTAGAACAGGACCAGGCAGCATTTTGTTCCACTGTACACGGGTTTGCCATGAGTTAGGGGTTGACTCAATAGCAGCTAACAACAACAACGACTACAGTATGGTTGGGATGTTTAATGGCACCAGGCTCTGACAGCCTGCCATTTTCTTCTCCACTCATCTGACAGACCAGCTACTGTACTTACCCTGATCAGATCCCTTTCCCAAGGACAGGGCTTGGTCAGGCGCTGCCATTATTTCTAGAAATTTTCTTTTTCATTTGAGAAAAAAAGTTACCTTTATCTTTGGCTCTCGTTCTTTCCTTTTCTTTCCTCAAAAACTCTGGCACCAGCCAAGACCCCATTCTTTGCTCATTATGGCTACTCAGTCATCTCTTCCCATCTTCCTTACCAGAGGCAACTTCTGACTCTTAATGCTTCAAGTTCCCAAAAAATAATATTGACAACTAAAATCCTTGTAGTAATGCACAGCTTATAGAGAGCTCACAATCATTTTCTGTGCGGTAATGTGGTAGATCTTATTATGCACATTTCACAAATTAGAAAACAGAAGCTCAAACAGGTAAGTGACTTGCTCAAGATCTTACATCTAGTAAATGAGAGAACAGCCATTACAATCCATATTTCTGGTTCCAAAGCCTGTACTTTTTCCATATGATGTGACCACAAAAGCACAGAATCAAAGAATGTCAGAGTGGAACAGACCTAAGAAATAATTGAAAATCTAGAGTCCAGATCTGAACTTTTCAATACAGTATCCACTAGCCACATGTAGCTATTTAGATCTAAATCAATTTAAATTAAATACAATTGCAGATTTAGTTTCTCAGTCTCACATTTCAAGTGCTCAGTAGCCATATGTGGCTAATGGCGACTATATTGGACAGCACATATTATAGAACAACAGCACTAGTCTAGACTAAAGCCCTCATTTTAGAGACGAGGACAATGAAACTCAGAACCCTAGACCTTAGTCTGGGAAACTCCATTTTAAGGCACCAAAAATCCAAATATTTGAGAACTGGTCATAAAATCAACATGTACCTTGTTCAAAAGATTTTCCTTGTTGAGTCCAAAATGGAGGGAAGACAGGCAGGAAGTGGTATTTTGGGGGTACACCTGAAAGATCCTGTTGTGGCCTGAGATTCTTCGGTACATTAAGTTGACTGTCCTGGAGCAGCACAGAATCCTTGATGTATCCTGAAGGGTAGGTCAGGAGTTATTGGTAAAAATAATGGTCATCAATATACAGTTCTTGGAGATAACTACAAGATTCCCCCTTGCACTAGTCCTGGCTTTGGACATGGCCCATTAAGGAAGACAATTAGAAAATAAGAGGGATTTAAAAAGCAGATAGACCCCATAGAGGCTTCTCTATCCAGTGTCTCGGGTGCTTCTGCTCCTGTGCCATCTGTGTGTTTCTTCCACTCTGCTATTGCCAAGAACTGGGTCTCCCTGGTGAAGAAACATCGCCACCTCCTTAGGGTTGGGTAAGCTCCCAGGAAGAGGGAGCAAAAGGTAGTGGATATATCCTGCTTGATTCTGAAAACCCCACCAGCAACTGCCTTCTCAATCCAACCATTCTATTAGGATTTTCTGAGGATTTACCAATGGTCCCAGCCCTCTGCTAGGCAGTGGGGCACACACAGAAGTACCAGACATGGGCCCTTTTTAAAGGCACTAATAGTCTTTTAAAGAGACAAAGCTCACCTGTGCTCAACTGTGTGGCCCTGAATGTCAGTGTGATATAAGGCCAGAAAATGAAGAGCTCAGTATTGATTGGATTTGTCAGAAAAGACTTCATAGGAGATGTAGGCTTGAAGTGTGGGTAGGATTCATAATAGGGGTGAAAAGAAGAGACCGAAGAACACTCTAGCATCATAAAAGTAGTGAGCTCTGAGATGTGAGGGGAGGATGGCAGGGACCATTGGGCCAGTGGTTTCACACCAGCCTCAACATAGTTCCTCCAGCCTAAGGAACTATGGCAAGGGGCCCAAAGATGCACGTGTACATGTGTCTTTTCTTAAACCACACATTTTAGCCATATGACTCACCTATGGAGGGGTCTGAGACAATTTTTGATGTTAAGTGGGGCTCTCATCCTCAAAAATCTTGGGCCTAGGGTATAAGGGCAGTAGCCTGTTCTGCTCTCTGCCTTACCTGATGATAAACAGATCTTTGGTTAAGAGGCTCTTTCTCACAGCATTAAATAAATGGATATGCCTGTAACTTTGGGCCTGCCATAAAAGTAAAAACAATTACTGGACAAGCCCACATCTCTCATTTTGCTTCAAGTCACCACTTATTGGGGAGAGAGTTGTTTTCTCTCCTTTCCCAGGGTAACCTATAAAGCAAGAGGAAAATCAGTCTTCCTCTGGTCCTGTCTGTTTGTTGGTGTTGAAGAAATGACAACCTAGCAGACACTGGCAAATCCTACTGCTCACCTCTCTCATCCTCAGTAGGTTTACCAAATAAACTACAAGATGTCCAGTTAAATCTGAATTTCAGATAAACAATGATTTTGTTTTTTTTAAAAGATACGTATGTCCCAAATATTGCAAGTTTAACTGGGTGTTTGTGTGTGTGTGTGTTCAGGAGCGCTGTGTGCGTGCACACACTAAATCTGGAAATGCTAATTCCCAACCATTTCTGGTTTCCATTGTTAAGTGTTTGCAGAGTTTGTCTGGGGTCTCTGTCTAGCAGTAGGGTGTCCATCTCAGTCCCAAGTGGATTGTGCTGGAGAGCCCCCATCTTTAAGAGGAGGAGTCCTAACATTTCCACTTCCTGGAGGACCTGAGATCACCTCAGATGGGGAACTGGGGAATGTTGGGAAGAATATGCAGCTAGGAGTGCAGGGAGGCTCTGGCTTCTGGCCCCAGCTCTGCTTTTGGCTGAATGACCTTGGGCAAATTACTTTGCTCTCTGGGCCTCTTTTTTATTCTCGTTATCTTGTAAAAGATGAGGGTTGAACTGGATGATCTCTGAGTGAAGAAATTTCAGAAGAAAGTTCTGGCATGGGATGTGGAGTGCGAGGTTGCTAAGAGGATTGGGGTGAAGGCAAGACTTCAGGCTGTACTTCTCTCTGCAAATTTGGAGAGGATGGGGGTGAAAGGCGTGATCGAGGTTTGAGGGTTACAAGCTTGAGAAACTTTTCTTTAACACAAAATCAGTCCTGAAATTCTAGTGTTTCAGACCTTGATGTAAAGCATACTCTCATGCTAGAATGAGAGGCAGGGCATCTCAGGGTGCCCCCAACCACTTCCCTACTGACCTGCACACTGGAGCCTGTACATGGTGTCAGGGGGCCATTTCCGCAAGAGACCTCGGAGGTATCTCTTGGCTGAATACCCAGGCTGGATCTGCCGTTGGGCCTTGCTCTTCGGCTGGCTTTGGAAGTGGAGGTATGGTTGCCAGGCTCTGTTCTGCTCCCTCTGTGGGGACACCAGTCAGAAAACAGCACAGCTGCTGAGCCCTGAGACTCCCAGTGATACAAGCTGGTTAGCACAATCCTCATCAGTAATCCGGAGACTCCCGGAAGGTGCTGGAAGGCACCAGAAATGGATGCCTCAGCCAACAGACATAAACCAAGAGCCCACAGAGCAAAGCTCTGAAAGGCCCTTGCAGATTTGCAGTTGGAAGGAGAAGGAGAAATGACAAACACCAGACCCCATCTTGAGGCAGAGCGTGAGAAGGGATAAAAAGCCTCAAAAGAAAACATTATCTAGTTCAGCCTGTGGAAATCATTTAGTACCTTAAAAAGTGGGGCTGTATAGCAATGGGAAAGCCAGCTCAGCAAATAAGCATTGGCATTCAGTGTTTGTAATATGAATAACAGGTCAGACAAACCATGTCCTATGTTCATGGGAAGCCTGTCATTCTGAAAATATCTGGCTCTACTGCATTTCATTTCAGCCTAGGGAGAATTTTCTGGGGACTTGCTGCCAGAGTCAGTGCCACTGTTCAAAACATCGTGGAGAATAAATGTGAATAATAACATCTTACCCTTGGCTAGGGATATATGTTATACAAAGAACTTTCACCTCATTATAATGTTATATAAGGCAGACTGAGTTAATATTATAACCACTGAAATGGCACAGAAACCCCCTGAGGATGATCGGTTATGAATAGCAAACATGTGGTACTTGTGTTGACACCTCTCACTCTCCCCCTTGTCTATGGCAGATGTCACTAATCAATTATGGCTTTCTTGCCTGCTGAATTGATTGTGGTCTCAGCATCTTCTTCTATTAAATTTTTTTAAATTGAGGCATAATGTATACATAATAGCATGCACAGTGCTTAGGTGCTCAGTTCAATAAAATTTGACAATTGTATACACCTTTGTAACCACCACACAAAACAAGACACACAATATTTTCATCATCTGAGAAAGTTCCCTCGTGTCCCTGTCCAGTCGCGTGCTCCACCCTCCAGGTAGCCATTATTCTGATTTCTGTCACCATGGATTAGTTTTGTCTATTCTTGAACTTTATACAAATGGAATCATACAGCATATATTCTTTTGCAGTCCATGAAAGTGCTCCACACAGTGTTCCAGTGAGAGTTGGTATGAGGGATGAAGCCCGTTTACCACCCTTGGTTAAGTGGCTCACCCGACGCAATAGTATAGACAAGGAAATTGAGGTTAAAAGACTTAACCGTTAACTCAGTACTGAAGTCACTCCTGAGGTTCGTACTTCAGCCAAAGATTGGACAGGCCCATAAAACAAAACAAGACTAAATGGGCACACCAGCCCGGAGGCAAGGACGAGAAGGCAGGAGAGGACAGGAAAGCTGGTAATAGGGAATCCAAGATTGAGAAGGGGAAAGTGTAGATATGTTGCAACCAATGTCGCAAAACTATATGTGTATTAATTGTTTCATGAGAAACTAATTTGCTCCGTAAACCTTCATCTAAAATACAAAAAAAAAAAAAAAAAAAAGACTTAACTAGTTAGTAGTAGGATTGGGACCAGAACCCTGGGCTTCGAATTCCACATCAGTGCAAAGCTTCTGTCCTTCAGGAACTTACCACCTCACTGTTGGACGAGGACCTAACACCATGAACCATTTTGATGTCAAAACAAGGAATAAAAGATGGTTTAAAAGTAGGTGGCTCAGTGAATGCCACAGCCCATAAGAATTGTAAGACTAAAGAGACGGACTCTTTCACACTTGTTAGGATCCTTTCGGTTGGAAGTAGTAAAACCTGACTCAACTGGTATAAACAATGAGAAAGTTTATTATCTCATATTACAAATCGAACAAAGGTTGGAGAGTTCTAGGCTTCTTTAATTTGGTGGTTCAATGGCCCAGATCAGCATCTTTTTAGCTCTGTGTTTGTGGTCACAAGCACATTGAGATTCTGCAGCTGCCACACTGTCAGTGTCACAGCCTCATTGATGACCTTTGATGCCCTCTTCCTGCATCTGCGGAGCTGAGGTTGTGGCACTCTTGCACGGGGTTCCATTCTCTTTCTAAAGAGGCCTGTGATGATGCATGTACTTATGCTTGGCAGGAGGCTGTGACACTATGAGACTAGATCTGTTGTTGTTGGCTGTCTGTTCAGAACAGACTCAACAGCAACCCCATGTGATAGAGTATAACTGTCCCCATAGGATTTTCTTGGCTGTAATCTTTAAGGAAGAAGATCACCAGGTCTTTCTCCTGCGGAGTTATGGGTAGGTTCTCACTGCCAGCCTTTCCGTTAGCAACCAAGCACTTAACCATTGCACCAGCAGGGCTCCTGAGACTGGTTCTCCAGGCATCAAATCTCTTCCTACCTCTGATAATTCTTTTTGCTTAGCCTCACGGGCTTGCAGAGCCTGAACAATGGACACAGGGGGACAACTAATGGGTCCAGAGAGCACAAACAAGAAGAGTAGGAAGGAGAGAGCTTGGTGAGAAAGTTTAGGAAAGTGTACTGGACTTAGAGCCAGGATGGCTGGAATCCGTTTTGTGGTTCTGCCACTTGGAAACTTTCTGATCGTGGGCAAACCCTAGAAACTCTCTGTAAAATGGAGCGAATAACATGTAGCTGCCATCAGTCTGTTATGGAGGCCTACATGTTGCTGTGATGCTGAATGGGTTTCAGTGGAGCTTCCAGACTAAGATGGATTAGAAAGAAAAACCTGGCAATCTACTTCCGAAAATCAGCCAGTGAAAATTCTATGAATTACAACAGTCCGATCTGCAATCAGGCGGTATTTAGTTCCATTGTGTATAGGGTCACCATGAGTTGGGGGCTGACTCAGTGGCAGCTAACAACAAGGAAGCGGAAAGTTGATGGGTTTTGGAACCAGATAACCCAAAAGTCAGATTTTACAGTGCCTGACACATAGTAGGGGCTCAATATTGTTGGTCAACGAATAACTAAATGAGTGAATAGTTCCAATCTGAGTCAGAGGGCTACTCAGTCACCTAAATTATATAATCTTGTTTGTAATACTGACCAGGGCAGATTATCCAATAGACAAGGTAACACAGTGCTTACTTTGCTTTCCAGATCATCTGTAGTGAACAATTTCACATTTTTACACCACATCAAGGATTCTGCTTCTAGGTATGGCTGACATCTGTCCAGGGGTGGATTAGCCAATAAGCAAGGTAAGCACGAGTTTACTTGGTAATGTGAAATTGTTCACTACAGATTTAGTAAGCAAGCACAAGTAAGCCCATACTTACCTTGTTTACTAGGTCATCCACCCTTGTCCAGGATTGTAAATTTGAAAAGAGGCTTTGATTCTGCAGGAAAGTGCTGTGGGATTGGGAGAGAAATAGATGCCAGTCATATCTAGAAGCAGAATCTTTAATGTGGTGAAAAAATGTGAAATTATCCTTGTTTATTTGATAATCTGCCCCTTATACTAACATTATACCTACTTTTTAGGGCTTTTTGATGGTGCAAATGAAATAATGCAGGTAAGTGTCTCTCACTGACCCAGCTTATTGTAAGATATGTAGCAAATGTGAGGGTCTTTCCGCTCATACCTCCTGGCCTCCTTTCCCTGCCTACTTTGCACTCTGGGGTGTTATGAGGAGCAGATGTGAAAGCACTTTCTAATCGCTGAGCATTCCTAATAGGATGGGAGGAGAGTTGATAGTGAGAGAGACTAAGCGGGATTTTGCCTTAAGAGGGACTGGCCTTGAGATCTAGCCCTACCCTATTGGTCATGTGTCCTTGGCAAATTAATTACTTTTCTGGCTACTTACACTCAGTTTAAGGACTAAATGAGCTGAGTTCTTAGTGCTCAGTAGCTAGTAGGTAATCAACATATATTCAAGTCTTTTTCAAATGATCAGTCTTTTCTTCTTCCCTTTGTCCAGGTTGTGAGAGACTATGTTAATTGGCTTCCAAACAGCCCTTCTTCTCCTCACTTCTTTTTGCTAACAGAACCCTCAGTTTTATGTTAACAAAACCCCTTTCCCAGATATGTGTTTTCCCAGACTCCATTGCAGCTTGGAGTGACCATGTGACCTAGTTCTGGCCAATGAGACATAAGGCGAAGTCTGCTGGGGAGCTTCTGGAAAGTCTTTGCTTCCTTATATAAGAGGCAATTTGTGAGAATTGCTCACTGGCCTTTTTTTTCTGCTCTGAACCCAGATGAGACATCTTGTGAATATGAGCTAATAAGCATGAGGAAGAAAAGCCAACATTCAAAGGATGGTGGAGGGAAAAGACAAAGCTTGAGTCTTTAACGGCATTGTGGAACAGCTGGCCAAACATGAAACTCCTACCCCAAATTTCTTGCTATATGAGATAATTAAATTTCTTTATTGTTTAATCCAGGGATTGGCAGATTTTTTCCTAAAGAGCCAGAAAGTAAATATTTTAGGAGGCCGTATGGTCTCTGTTGCAGCTACTCGTCTCTGTCTTTGTAGCAAGAAAGCAGCGATAGACAATATGTAAACAAATGGGCATGGTTGTGTTTCCATAAAACTTTATTTACAAAAACAGGCAGTGGGCAGAATTTGGCCAGTAAGCCGTAGTTCCGGTGCCTGAGTTAAACCACTGATAATCAAGTAATCTGTTACTTGCAGCCAAAAGTATTTCTAACTGATACATAGGTAGAATATGGGAGCAACATATCTGAAGTTGCTACAGATTTAGGTAATGGGAGAAAAGACCAGCATAGCAATTCTCCAGAGGTGGAGTATAAATTTGCCATTTCAACCACTCTTAAGTGACATTAGTCACATTTACCATGTTGTGCAGCCATCACCACTATCTGTTTCCAAAAGTTTTTCATCACTCCAAACAGAAACTCAGTACTCCTTAATTTCAGCAGTAACTTCCCTTTCTCCCTGCCCCGTCCCCTGGTAACTGTTGATAAACTTTTGTCTCTATGCATTTGCCTGCTCTAGATATTTCATATAAGTGGAATCATACAGTATTTGGCCTTCTGTGTCTGACTTATTTTACTCAGTA